TTAGGGGTGGGCATGAATGGGTAGAGGGTAGTGGGTAGTGAGTCGGGGGTGGGTGGGGGTATGGTAGATGCAGGTACGGGAGGGGTGGGTGGGAGTTGGGTATGGGGTGGGGTGAGGGTCCGTTGGTACTACGATGTGTGGGTATAGAGTGGGTGTTGAGAGGACCTTGGTGGGTTGGGGCTGGGCAGGGGGAGGTGGGTAAGAGGGTGGGTGTACCGAGAGTCCTGAATGGGTATCGGGTGGGTACCGGGCTTGATCCGTGGTGGGTAGGAGGTGGGTATAGCGTGGGCCCGGGGAGGGTGCGGGGGCAGGTAGTTCCTCTCGCTCCCCAGCTGGCATTCCTAGCGTACACGTGGGTCTCTTTTAAACGTTATCTCCTCAAACTTTATCAACTTTTCCTTTCACTCCCTCTTCTCATCTCTACCTCCCTCTTATCTCCTCTCTGTCTCCTCGCACAAAAAATACAAACAGTCCTCCTCCATTCCTCACGCACATATTTATCTCCTTTTCTTCCATCTCCCATTTCTTCAATCATTTCTCCTTCTCCTCGTACCTGGCAACTCAAAAATCAGAAGAGGAAGGCGGGATCACTTCCCTAATGAGACGAGTTTTAATCTGAATTTTCCAGTATGTTAGGTATTCATGTTATGGTTTTTTGGCTGTTGAAATAATTTATTAGTAAGGAAGCCAATGGATGAATATAAAAGCGAGATGAATATATGAGATGTAGTTTGAGGAAGGAGAAAGCGGAACATGAAAATCAGGAAGCAGATACTATATCTATCTATCTATCTATATCTATATATACATACATATATATATATATATATATATATATATATATATATATATATATATGAATATATATATATATATATATATATATATATATATATATATATATATATATATATATATATATATGTATATATATATATATGCATATATATATATATATATATATATATATATATATATATATATATATATATATATATATATATATATGTATATATATATATATATATATATATATATATATATACACATATATATGTATATATATGTATATATATATATATATATATATATATATATATATATATATATATATATATATATATATATATACATATATGTATATATATATGTATATATATATATATATATATATATATATATATATATATATATATATATATATATACATATACATACATACATACACACACACACACACACACACACACACACATACACACACACACACACACATATATATATATCTATATATATATATATATATATATATATATATATATATATATATATATATGTGAGTGTGTGTATGTGTATTGTATATATGTCTTATTCTAATTTTCATGATCTATCCTTCTAGCAAAAAACATTCTAACGGAAAAAAAAGGATTATTAAACGATTCATTAAACGGATATCCATAATCATATACCCAATTTATACCCACCTCGCCCCCCCCCCCCCCCCAAAAAAAAAAGACTGGCCACACCTATACATTAAAGCTAATTACACACCTACATACATACGTGCGCCAGCCGTCTCGCGAGGAAAATCTATATCACTGTCAGGATACGAGAGTCAAGGCGCTGAACAGATTGCGTTGAACGAGATCACTTTTGACGAAGTAAGTGACCGTTCGGATTTTTTTTATGAGGTCGTATATAACAAAGGTTCAGTTGTTATCGTTATGCAATGTGTTATTGTTATGACAAAGATATCATGATCATTATTATTGTTGTTATTGTTGTTAATGTTCTTTTTATTATTGTTATCATTATTCTTCTTTTTTTCTTATTCTTATTATCATTTACACTATCCTTTTTCTTTTATCATTGATAGCAATGTTTTTGTTCATTATCATTATTATTACAATTGTTATTGTTATTATTATAATTATCATTATTATTATTATTATGATTATTATTATTTCTATTATTACTATTATCATTATTATTATGATCACCATCATTATCGTTATAGTAATAACTATCATTGTTACCATTCTAATTAGCTTCATTATTATCATAATCATCATTATTATTATTAATGTTATTATAACTGTTATCATCATTACTTCTATTAGTATCATTATAATTATCGTTACTGTTATTGCAATCATAAGTGTTATTATTACTATCGTTATTATTATGTTTTATGCATATTATTATTATTATCATTAATATTGTTATTTTTACTGTATCATTACTATTATCATTGTTGTTATTGTTTTTTGTTGTTACTGCTGTTGGTAGTATTGTTGATATAATGATTATAGTACTAACAAGGATGATAAAACGATGATCATAAAGACGATGATGATGATGACGATAGTGATAATGATAGTAATAATAATGATGATAATGATGATAATGATAATAACAGTAATAATAATAATAATGATAATCATCATCATCATCATCATCATTATAATAATAATGATAATAATAATAATAACAATGATAATAATAACAATAATGATAATAATGATAATAATAATAATAATAATGATAATGATAACAGTAATCATAACAATAATAATGATAAGAATACTAATAGCAACAATAAGGAAAGTAATAATAATGATAATGGTAATGAAAAGGATTATAAAAATTATAATAATAACAATGATAATGGTAATGAAAAGGAGTATAAAAATGATAATAATGATAATGATAATGATAATAATAATAATTATAATAATAATAATGATTATAATGATAATGATGATAATAATAAAAATAATAATAATAATAATAATAATAATAATAACATCAACAATAATAACAGTAATAGTAACGATAATGATAACAACAATAAAAACAACAGTAATAATGATAATGATAATAGCAATATTAATAATATCAATAATCACAATGATAACATAATACTAGTAATAATTATAAAAATGGTAATGATACATACAATTATGATGATAATGATATTGACAGCAATGATAATATTGATGATGATAATGATAAAGATTATAACAATAATATAAATAATGAAAATGATAACAAAACTAGTAGTAGTAAACGGCTATTATTTCTAATACTACTGCAACAAATACTGTTATCATTGCTAATATTGTTTCTTTCGTCACCATCATCATCGCTACTTTTACTTACATAATCATTACCATTTTGTCACTCAGTAAAAGTACTATCACCTTTACTTCAATAACCGCTTTCATTAATACCCTCAACGTCATTAATTCTACTATCATTAATACGTTCCCAGATATCATTACAATTGATATTATTAGACATATAATTTAGATGCATTTTTTTCTTTATCTTTATCCTGTGTTTCTATAATGCATTACTGATATTTCCCCGTCCCCTCATTTGCTATGTATTTTCCACTTTGAGTTTAATTACACGAACCATCGGTCATAAAAACGAAAAAAAAAAAAATATTTTTTCAGTTATCATACTTACCCTCTCTCTCTCTCTCTCTCTCCCTCTGTCCCTCACTCTCTTTGTTTATCTCTCTCTTTTTCTTCTCTGTCTCTCTCTCTCTGATTGTCTATCTTTCTTTCTTTTCCCTCTATCTCTCTCTCTCTGTTTGTGTATCTCCTTCTCTTTCCTCTCTCTCTCTCTCTCTCTCTATGCCTCAGTCTATATATCTATCTATCTCTCTTTATCTTTCCTCTCTCTCCCTGCCTCCGTCTATATATCCATCTATCTCTCTTTATCTTTCCTCTCTCTCTCTCTCCATGCCTCTATATATCTATCTGTCTTTCTCTCTTTATCTTTCCCCTATCTCTCTCACTCCCACCCCCCTACCCTCTCTCTCTCTCCTTCTTCTCTTTTTCTTCCACTAATCATTATCTGAGCTCGATGCAACAGCTACCATATGGCCATCGGGACTCTGCAGGGAGAACAAAAGAAAATCTCGTAATCTGTTTCCTTTCAGATTTTTTTTCTTTTTTTTTCTAGACTTCCTGTTTTGTATTTATGTTAATTTTTTTTGTTATCGTTTTTCTTTTTTACCTTTTAGTTTTTTTTTGTCTGTTCTTTCATACTTTTTATTTGTTTTTTTCTTATCATTCTCATTTTTGTTTGCTCTTTTTTCTTTTTTCTCGTTATTTTACTTTCCTCGATTTATTTTTTTCCGCCTCTATTTCCGTCCCCCCCCCCTATCCTTGTTTTTATTTCTTTCTTTTCTCATTTCTTTATCTCTGAACATCAGAGCGCGGCACGGGTCAGCCCGGCGTTATCGACTGACGGGCTGACAAGCTGACTACCTGTGCTGACCATCTGTGTGGCGACGGGCAGGTGGCGAGCGCCGACCGAGGGCTGACGCTTGTGCTAATACCTATTTAATAATCACCGGTCGCTCATCTGTGATTCATGGGCGGGAACAAAGCTGGTAAGCACACGCACGTGCTCGCAGCTACGACGCACACGCTTAGGTACACATGATTAGACACACACGCGTGCATTTGTTGCTCAAATGGACATAGAGGAGCTTACGTAAGGATATGCTTGTATACACATATCCAGAAACAGAAACGGATGCATACATAAAATCAAACACTCATACAGACTTATCCACAAACACGCGCACACACACAAACACATACAAACAAACTTGAATGGACTTCTGCTTTTCATTCCATTGTGTCTTTCATATTTGTCAAGTTTCTTTTATTTCCATCTTCGTTTATTAACTTTCCTTAGGATACGCTCTCTCTCTCATACTCTCTCACTCACTCACTTACTCTTTGAGTCGCTCTCTCTCTCTCTCTCATTCACTCACTCACTCACTCTCTCTCTCACTCACTCTCTCAGTCGCTCTTTCTCTCTCTCTCTCACTCACTCTCTCAGTCGCTCTCTCTCTCTCTTTCTCTCTCTCACTCACTCACTCTCTCTCACTTTCTCTCTCTCTTTCTCTATTTTCTCCTGATTTCTCCGATTACCTTCCGTTTATTTATACCATTAACTATTAAAAGCAAAACTCTGAACCCTCCATTTTCTTTTTCCTATTCTGTATGCATGTGTTTGCTTATCTATCTATCTGTGCATCTTTCAATTTTGTTAAAGTATATGTGCTTATATTCACATTTTTCTATCCGTGTGTATGTGCTCCATTACATTCCCTAACTACGTGTTCATAACTGGTCAAAAGCCTATCACACTTTTATCTACACTCGGCCGTTTGACTTTACTCCAGCCCTCTGACAACAAAATTCAATTTCATCAGTTATCATATATTCAATATAAATATATGTATATATATACATATATATACATACATAAACACACACACACACACATACACACACACACACACACATATA